TTACTGAAGACATTTTACTTCAAAAGAAGGGAGATTTCCACACGACGAGACGTTAGTACCAACTAGTAACTTAACTCGTTAACCTTAAGGGTCGTATCCTTTCGTAAATCAGTTGGATTTCGGGATGAAATTGTTAATTTGTTATTGTTTTTCTTTTTTTCAGAGATTCCTTTCCTTATGATCTTCAGTTTAGCATTTTAACCAGATTCATCACTGATCAAACCCAGACACCCAACCTCAAGGTAATGGTGCATGAATGTATGGAACGTTTTACCACTGCGGCATGTTATTGGTCAAATGTTCCTTTAGATAGAAAGGTTATTTGGGGAGGGGAGGGTTTATTGAAAGTGCTAAATGCCAGGATGTCAGCAGCCTATAGCGACTCGTGTTTGAGGGATAATCATATTAAGCCGTTATTAGGTCATATTTATATTGTGTTCGTAGTATTTTACTTCCTGTTTACCATCTTACGTTTGTCTTGCAGGTCAAGATAGCCATTTTGCAGTATTTACAAGGACTTATTGGTTTGATGGATCCAAGTGATTTCACCAACTCTGGTGGTATCCTTTCCAAATATTCGCCATCAATTAAGTATGACTTATCTGGCACCGCCATCTTTGTAAAACCTTGTTAAATGTGATAAATTTTACATCAATTCTTCTGAAAAATTATTCGGTGGCTCTTGTTCTCGGAAAGTTGGGAGGGCAATAGGACAATTGGACGATGATGATATTTGACTACAACTACCAGAATTCATTTCGGTTCTGCTTTGTTACTTAAATTTGTCAATGCCGCTGAGGATTAAAGAACAATAGCCTTAATTTGCACAAGAAAACAACAAACTCAAGGATTCTGGTAGTTGTAGTAAAATGATGTCATCGTGCAATTGTCCAATAGAGACATCACATGACGCAAGAAAACGTATGGACATGCCCTATCTCTCGCAACTCCTTGTACGAAAATGCAATACATTTGCAGGTTGCAGTCAATTGTGAAAGTTTTAAGAAAGTGTTGGTGGGGGAAACACATTAATTATGTTGCTAAGGCAAATATTCCCCACTTCAGAAATTCAGGGAGAATGGGTACAAGCTTTGGTTTCATAGCCTGCTCCAGGCTCCGAGATGGTGGTGGAAAGTCGTTCAGTAATAAGAAATGCGAAAAACGCGTGGGGGTTGGGGAGAGACAGGGCGGCCCCTTCCCCAAGTCGTGCGCGTCTTATTTTCGCTTTGCTCGTTTTAATACGTTCCCACTATACTATCTGAGAGCCTGGCACAGGCTAGTTTCAGTGATGTATGGGATTCGTTTGGGTGGGCAAGCGTCATTTATGATTGGTCGATGGTATTCAAGGCAACCATTAACCAATAATAAGTAAGGCTTGTCCACCAAAACGATTTCAGAAATCATTGGACCCAAAGCCTGTACCCATACTCCTTTTCGTTTGTGGAGTGGGAAATTACGTCACAACTCTCTTAACTGACACACGGTTTAGAATGATTTCACAGTATAAATTTTAAATGCTTTTAAACGCTATACAACTAGATTTGTTGAAAACGTTTTTATAGCCTTAATACGGCATAGAAACACGGTTGGCGGTTTCGCGGATAATCACGTGGACGACTGAGCCGAAAAGCGTAGACGTCAGAAAGGTAGGAAGCACTCGTGCCACCCGAAATAAAGTGTAAACAGTAATTTTTACCAAGACACGTGGGTGCCGGGTACTAGAAATAAACTGGACTTATCTTGAAGACCCGTGAACTACATTGTTAGCATCCCTGGCGACTAAGCTATGAGTTCAGGGAGATGCAGGTCCTAAGCGCTCATAAAGAATGCACTTCACATTTCATTATCTCTGTCAGTTAACCCACTCATGGAGTTTTCCAGCTTCTCTTTTTTCAAACCACAAGGTTGAGTACAAAATTTTTGATACGAAGTGATGTGATTGGTGTTCTCATGCAAGATAAACTTGTATTTTTCATCTGGCCTTATTTTAAAAGTGAAAATTTTGGAACTCGGAAGAACGTGGTTCTTGTCCACTGCAGTGGAGTGTTGAGCTAAATTTAGTGAAGGCGCTTGCTCCTCGGATGATTATTTTATGTGACAGAGTTTTGTTTTCAATTCATTTTGACTGCTTCCTAATTTGTCCCTAGGAATCAGCGGCTGTCATTGTGGCTTTGTTTGAGTTGAACACTCCAGAATTCAGTATGATGCTAACAGTTCTACCCAAATCTTTCCAGG